CACCTTTTTTTTTTTTTTTTTTACGTTGCACCTTGTCTTGCTGGGCATCTATACTTCTTTTCTTCTCCTTCGGACATCCACTCCTTCTGAAGGAAAAACACCTTCTTTTGTTCAACAGCTGTTCTCAGTTTGCTGATGGCTGCAGAGCTCCAGAACACACGTCTCCTCCCACCCCTACATCCAGGTTGCAGCTTTATCGGCAACTCTGCTGTGCTGGCGCTGGGGACGAGGCTCCAATGGGAGGAGAAGGAGGCAGCCCAGGCGCCTGCAGTCTTGTCAAGCAGCCTGTTCTTCCACAACTGAAACGGTTATTCCTGGTTTTGTTCATGCTTCTTCTCTTGCCCTTGTGTGAATTGAGCACCTGGATGAAATAAAACTTAGGTGGTGGTCCCTTTAAGCCTGTAGCTTTCCAAATATGAAGGCAAAACTGGTTTGGAGAAGGAGCGCTGTAGAATAAGAGGGATTTCCTGGTGTGGTTCTCGGTTTTCTTCCAGTGAATAGACCGAAGTGTGCAAGCTGTTTTCACTCTGCCCTCTGTTGATTCAGCCTCTTAATCAGGTTACTGAATGCTTCCCTGTTGGCAGTTCCCAGAAGTGGAACTCACTCTGTTGCAAACTTCTCAATAGTATGGAAAGAAATCTGGTTGAGCCCAAACTTTGATTGCAGGTTCCATTTGCAGGAATGGGAAAGAACTACTGCAGAGGTGGGAGAGCCATGACCCTCTCCTTTACAGCCCAAGAAACTAGGGAGGGTCTTTTCTGAACCTCTTGCCCCACCCACTATCCAGCTGTGGGCTCTGCTGCCTCTTATCTGACTGTTTCCTAGGCAGCATCTCTTCACTCCATCTCCAAAGCCTTTCCCACATACCATTACATTCTCCTGGACAAATGGCTGAGCCGCTAGAATTTCATTGGAAGTATACTTTTCTCTTTATAAAATCTAATGTATCAAACAGAGCTCAACCACCCAGAAGGCCCCTTCTATCTCCCCACTTTTTCTTTTCTTTTTATAATATGGCCACCACTATAGGAGCCCAACCAGCTGGCCAATGATGAGGACTTTAGTTCTCCAATGGAGAAGCTCTTCAACTTCAAACCATAAGATGATAATGGCAATAGAGGAGACTTCTGGACTACAACTCCCATCATCCTTTCTCATCCTTGTATTTTTTTTTTTTTGATCGCATTAAAAATTATAATTCAGTGACAACCTTTAGAAAGATTTTTTTGGGCTGAGATCCACTGGTTCTAAAGGTTTTTGTGTGGTTTTTTTGGCTTTGCATAAAGCAGGGGTTCTTAAACTCCCAGGGGATTGTGATCAACCTAGAGGGGGGATTCTATTTTTTAAAAACTTGATAAGGTTTGGACAGGCAAAGTAGGAGCGCTATTAAAACTTACTCTGAGTTTTGCTCCTTGCTTTGTCCAAACCAACTGTGAGCTTGCCCAGACAAAACAGGAGCAAGATTTGACAATGGTCCTGCTTTACCTGCTCATACAAAGCTAGCAAAACTCAGTCTGGGCTCTGCCCCTCATCTGACTTGCACAAACCTGCAGGGAACAATTGCGATACCACAAAGTTGGTGAACCCACTTTACCTATTATATTTATGGGCAGAGGGTTCAGATTCATTTCTCAGTTTAGAGGACACAGGACCATCAAGTTTGTGATCTACTGGAACGAAGGCAAGCCTACTGTCCAACCTGGAAATGGGAAGTTTGGCATCAGATGAGACATTAGAGCAAATATTTCACTGTTGACTGATGTCGTGTCAACCGACAGGATGCCTAATAGTCTCCCTTTTCATTTATAAAGAAAGCAGGCACGTTTACTTTTCTTTTAAACAAATACAGATGATTAGTTTTAGGGTCAAAAAAACAGATGAAAAGATTAAGTTGAGTTGAGAAGAGAACTCAGCCCAGAATGATGTCTTTGCATCACCACATGTGCAGATTAATAAACATTCTGTATGAGTCATATTTTGTAGTTGGAAGATCTGGGATCACATGATTACCTAACCATACTGTTTCATTCTTGGACCCATCTTAAGGTTGCCAAGGTTGAGGAACCCTGCTCTTAAACTAAGACACTAAGCTAGAGGGCTTTACCTTGCCTCTCCCCCACTATTTCAGAATTGCTCACTTGGGGAGCCAGCATCCAGACTTCAAAAGGATTCCTTGTGGTCATTCAGTGGCACTGGATCTCCACAATTAGCTCATCTGTGGACTTTCCCTCACACAGGCCTGCATGTGGAGACTGGAACCTTGAGCAGTGTCTCTGGAAAGGTCCTGTTCCACTAAGCGATTGTGAATCATTTCATAATTGTACGCTGTCCAGAGTTGCTTACATTGTGAGGTGGGTGGCTATATAAATTGAATAAATAAATAAATGATCTCAAACTTCTCACTCCTGAAAGTCAGGAAAAATTCCTTCATGTTTTGCACAGTGTGACTTCCTTAAGAGGTGTGATTTCCCTTGGTGATGAAACCATTTTAAAGGTCTTTTTCAAGCTACGCTCACATCCTGATGATTTCATGTGCTCCCCGTGTCCTTATCTTGGCATATCCTTGGTATGGAAGTGGATTGTCTTTGCCCTCTTTGTTTCATATATGTTTTTCCCACTCTAGCCCGTAGTCCTGAGAGTCTCTGGTGGCCTCTCATTCAAGGATTAAATCAGGTCTTGTCAGGTTCAGCCCAAGAACCACCACGAGAGAGTCCAGAAATCAGCTCAGCTTCTTTATTAGCTTGCACCTAATAGACAGAATCTC